ATAGTACCCATATTTAAGAAATGGTTGAAGGCGAATCCAGGGAACTACAGACCACAGGCTCACAGATTTCATAGACTTCAGGGCTGGAAGGGACCTCTTAAAATCATCAGGTCCAGCCCCCTGCCCAAGGGGCAGGAAGTCAGCTAGGATCAAAGGATCCAAGCAAGATAAATGTCCAAATGTTTCTTGAAACTGTCCAGAGTAGGTGATTGCACCACCTCTGAGGGGAGTCTGTTCCAGGCCTTGGGGGCTCAGACAATAAACAAGTTTTTCCTTATGTCCAGCCTAAAATGGTCTTGCAGGAGTTTGTGACCACTGGACCTCGTCATCCTCTGGGTGCTGAGGTGAACAGGTGTTCCCCCAGATACTAATGCACACCCTTTATGTACTTATAGACTGCCACCAAGTCACCCCTGAGCCTGAACTTCTCCAGGCTGAAGAGTCCCATGGCTCACAGCCTCTCTTCATAAGGCCTGTTCTCTTGCCTTCTGATCATGCATGTGGCTCTCCTCTGGACTCTTTCAAGCTGCTCCACATCCTTCCTAAATTGTGGAGCCCAAAACTGGATGCAGTACTCCAGCTGCCGCCTCATCAAAGCCTAGTACAGCGGGAGGATGGCATCCTGGGTCTTGCTTGAGATGCATCAGTAGATGCAAGCCAGAGTTTTGTTCGCTTTGACAGCTGCAGTATCACATTAGTGGCTCATATTCATCTTGTGGTCAATCATGACCCCCAAGTCTCTTTCAGTCATAGCGCTAGCAAATGTAGCATTGCCGAGCCTATAAGTGTGATGCAGGTTTTTATTCCTGAGGTGGAGCAGCTTACATTTTTCCATATTGAATGCCATCAGGTTTTCATCCCCCCGCCTTGCAAGCCTATTGAGGTCGGCCTGGATCACCAGCCTAACCTCAAGTGTGGACACTCTTCCCCAAAGTTTGGTGTCATCAGTGAACTTGGCCAGTCCACTTTTGACACCACTGTCCAGATCGTTTATGAAGACATTTAAGAGTACAGGTCCGAGAACAGAGCCTTGGGGGACACCACTAGTTGCCAAGTGCCATGTTGATTTGGTTTCATCAACTACCAGTCTGGGTCCGACCTTGAAGCCAGTCCCCCAGTCATTGGACTGTGGAGTAGTCAAGGCCTGCAGTTGCCCAATTTTTCCATGAGGACATCATGGGACACTAGGTTAAAGGCATTTTAAAGTCCAAATATATGACATCAACCTCTTTCCTTTTGTCCAGGTGATCATCATGGTCAGCTGGTCACAGAAGGTAATGAGACTGGTCAAGTAAGACCTACCCTCAACAAACCCATGCTGGCTATCCCTCACAATGTTGCCTTCTGTTAGCCTGTCAAGAATGGTTTCGTTGATCAATTTTTCTAAAATCTTCCCAGGGATTGAGGTCAAACTGATTGGCCTGTAGTTTCCTGGGTCTTCTTTCTTTCCTTCCTTTCTTGAAGATGGGCACCACATTGGCCCTCTTCCAATCTTCAGGTACTTCGCCTGAGCGCCATGAGTTCTCGAATATCCTCTCCAGTGGCTGTGCTATGTCTGCCAGTTCTTTTACCACTCTTGGGTGTAACCTATCTGGGCCAGCTGATTTATGGGGGTCTAGCCTCTCAAGATGCTCCCTCACAAGATCCACACTAATGGTGGGCATATATTAATCTTCACCCTGGTCATCCCATATCCTGTTTGGCAGGGTGGTCCCTTTGGGCTGGTGAAAAACCAACACAAGGTAATCATTAAGCAGATTGACTTTTCTCTAGGTGTTGGTAGTCAGCTGCCCCAGCTGGTTTAACAGGGGTCCAATGTTGCCCTTGTTTTTCTTTTGATTCCCCAAATACCTGAAGGAGGACTTTTTATTGTCCTCAATTCGTGTAGCCAGATGGAGTTCAGTTGCAGCCTTGGCTTTTCTAGTTTGCTCCCTGCCAGTGTGGAACCATGCAGTATATTCCTCCTTAGTGGTGTTTCCTGTTTCCACCCATTACACTCCTCTCTTTTTAAACGTAGGAGGTCCAGAAGTTGCTTGTTCAACCAAGGGGGTTGTTGAGCCCTTTTACCACCTTTCCTATGGGTGGGGATGGACTCCCCCGTGCTTCTAGGCCTTAGGGAGCTCATCATGAACTCCCCTCCCTGTGAAATCATGGCCTCTTAGGGCCTCAAGAACAAGCCTCCTGAGCTTATGAAAGTCAGCTTTCCTAAAGTCAAGGACTACTGCATTGCTGGCAGACTTGCCAGCTGTGCAATGGATAGTGAAAATTAACAACTCGTGGTCACTGTCACCCAGCTTCACTTCAATTCTTAGGTCACTGATTAGATCATCCCCTTTGGCCAGTACCAGGTCCAGCAGAGCCTTGCCTCTCATCAGCCCATAAACTTCTTGGGACAGGTAGAGCTCATCTATGCATGTAAGGAAGCTTTGTGACTGACTAGATTTGGCCGAGCTCTCTTCCCATGAGGTGTCTGGGTAGTTGAAGTCTCCCATGACAACCATGCACTGAGAGCGTGCAGCCTCAGCCGGTTCCCTGGCAAATTCTTGGTCAAGCACTTGTTCCTGGTTTGGAGGTCTGTAATAGACTCCTACCATTGTATCCCCTTCACTATGGTCCCCTTGTATTCTAACCCAAAAGGTCTCCAGACCAGTCAGCCTCACCTCAGTCCCTGGGAAAATCATGGACAAGATCCTCAAGGAACGCATTTCCAAGCACTTGGAGGAGAAAAAGGTGATTAGGAACAGTCAGCAAGGATTCACCAGGGGCAAGTCATGCCTGACCAACCTGATTGCCTTCTATGACAAAGTGACTGGCTCTGTGGATGTGGAGAAACCAGTGGATGTGGTGTACTTTGATTTAACTAGGTTTTTGATACCGTCTCCCACAGCATTCTCATAGGCAAGCTGAAGTATGGGCTGCATGAATGGACCATAAGGTGGATAGAAAACTGGCTGAAGCATCGGGCTCAGAGAGTAGTAATCAATGGCTTGATGTCTAGGTTGGCAGCCTGTGTCAAATGGACTTCCCCATGGGTCAGTCCTTGGGCCAGTTTTATTCACTGTTTTCATCAACAACCTGGAAGATGGTATAGAGTGCACCCTCAGCAAGTTTGCAGATGACACCAAGCTGGGGGGAGTAATAGGTATGTTGGAGGGTAGTGCTAGGATTCAGAGTGACCTAGGCAAGTTGAAGGACTGGGCCAAAAGGAATCCCATGAGGTTCAAGGGCAAGTGCAAAGTCCTTCACTTAGCACAGAACAACCCCATGCAGTACAGCCTGGGGACTGACTAGCTGGGTAACAGCTCTGCAGGAAAAGACCTGGGGGTTACAGTAGACAATAAGCTAGCAGTGTGCCCTTGTTGCCAAGAAGGCTGACAGCATACCGGGCTGCACTGGTAGGTGTGTTGCCAATAGTTCAAGGGAAGTGATTCTTCCCCTCTATTCAGCACTGGTGAGGCCACATCTGAAGTTCTGTGTTCAGTTTTGGGCCTCCCACTACAGAAAGGATGTGGACAAATTGCAGAGAGTCCAGCGGAGGGCAACAAAAATGATGAGGGGGCTGGGGGACATGACTTATGAGGAAAGGTTGAGGCAATTGGGCTTATTTAGTCTAGAGAGGAGAAGACAGAGAGGACTTAATAGCAGCCTTCAACTACCTGAAGGGGGGTTCGAAAGAGAATGGAGCTGGACTGTTCTCAGTGGTGGCAGATGACAGAATAAGAAACAACGGTCTCAAGGTGCAGCAAGGGAAGTTTAGGTTAGATATTAGGAAGAATTTTCTCACTAGGAGGGTAGTAAAACACTGGAACAGGCTACCCAGAGAGGTAGTGGAAGCTCCATCCTTGGAGGTTTTCAAAATCTGGCTAGACAAAGCCTTGGCTGGTATGATCTAGTTGGGGATGGTCCTGCTCTGAGAACTAGATGGACTCCTAAGGTTCCTTTTAGTCCTAACTTTCTATGACTATTTGCAAAGTGGAACTGCCAGCCTTGCAACATCAAATAGGGCTAAAAGGCATGTGATACTGCTCTGCCTTGACAGGAATCTTAATAAATGTACCACACTGCACAAAAGCCAGTTAGTTCATACCATACACATACAAAAAGCATAAGTGAAGTGTGCACATGTTACCATTAGTTCTGTCCATGATCTCAATGCTACATGCTCTCCATTCTCACACACTTACTCCCATATGGGTTCCTCCCCTTGACCTCAAGCTCTGCTTCTCCTTGTAGGAGAGAGAAAGTGCATCCATTTCATATCATACTAAATTAAAACACAACAGCCACTGGATTTGTTTTTTCACTCCTGTCACTATTTTATCCAACATTAAATCTAATTGTCATCCTTTGCTACTGTAGGATTTTATTTTGTCAAAGTATCCTACTTGGCTTAAAAGCAATTGACCAAATGCCTTGTACCAGTTCAGTGAAAAAAGTTTTTGAATGTGGGTGTCTACACTTATGCACCCAACTCTAAGTCTGATCTAAGAAGCAAAGTTAACAGGATTTTTTTTCATGGAATACATGCTAAAAAAGGCCTGATTTTCAAAGGCTGTAACAGGCATACCTCCCATACTGACATAAGAGGGAACTGTGAGTATTAAGCACCTCTGAAAACTCAAAGTCACTCCAGCTCTTGCTTTCTTAACTTTCGGGTTTCAAGTTTGAAAGTACTGGCCTATTTTATTATTTGTGCGTGAGGATCAAAGTCAGTTTCTACCTTAACTTATTAGGAGCCCAGGAAATTTTCAAAAGCAATTGTATATAGCGCTTTTTTTTTTTTTTTAATAGTATTAAAAATGATTTACAAGAATTCTCAGTACTCTCTCACTTCAGAGACTTAGACCACTGAAACATCATGAATGCAGTTCTCTAAATTAGTACCAGCCAATCAAGCTAAGAAGTCTTTGGCATTCATTTCCAAACAAAGCATAAACCTAACAGACGCTTTAGCAGATTTTAAGTTTCATATTTTATCAGAAGTCATAATTAATACTTACATGTTTGTTTCTATACTGAGAAAATTGAGAGAGGCCAAAAATTGTTGCTATGGCGCCTCCTCCAATGAGAACAGTTCCTTTTACTGCCTTCTGAAATGCCATTTTTTAGTTCTACGAATGAGAGAGAGAGAGAGGGAGATTAATACACAATTCTAACATGCTTGAATCCAGACTGCCTAGAACAGAACACACATTTAAACTGGAGGTGATGTTGTGGCAGATAGCATTAGGATAAAAATATATTAATGTTACAATCATACTAATTCCCTAATAAGTATAAAAATAACGTACAGAGAGATTAAAGTAAAAATCCCTTGGAAGAGTGTATGTTATTAGTGGGGAGGGGGTGGGGGGATAGAGGGGAGGAGAAAGGAAAAATATTTCATGCTTCTTAAATCTGCTTACACAGTACCTTTGTGAACTACAGATAAACATGTATGTGTACAGAAGCAACTACTTTTACCACAGCAGTGTAAGCACAACTTAAACTTCCAATCATCCATGACTGCCAGGCAAGATCCAGCACAAAACTGGTCACCAAGTACCCTCTGCAACAAGACACCAACTAGCCTGAAAAGATACCTCCTCCATACTGTCTCATCAGCATCCAGATCATTCTTACAATCCCATTGCCCAAGAAAACTAGACACCTATCTCCCTATCTGCAAAAATATCCATTCTCTCAACGCTATGGTGAACACTGAAGGGGAAAAAAAAAAAAAAAAAAAAATCAAATTTCCGAGTTTACAAATGAAGAAATAAATTATTTGCCTGGTATCTACAAGGTGGGGCTACGTGAATGAAAGCCTTAGGAGTTGAGAAGAAAGATACTGAAGATTCAGATTCAGACTCTTAAGTTTTTTGGTTTTATGAAAAAGATTCTCTCCCTAAAATGTCTCTTACTGAATGCAAGAGCTAATTTACTAATTCCACCAGTCAAATTAGTTGCAGTCTACTTTTTGTCCTACCCCAACAGTAGCAATACACATTTTGCATTATTCTATTTACTTTGAACAACAATAAAAGAAATAGCCTTGTTAACATTCTACAGATATTTCATTTTACCTCTTTCTCCCATGTTTAGCTACATAACAGAGTCCCTGAGGAATTTTCCCAAAGTGCTCTTGCTAGGGTTAAGACTATTCCATCTTGAGACTACTGCTCAGAACTTCATCCCTAATAACCAGATATTCCAATCTGGCTTTGCTTGTCATAACGTCTTGCATCTTAATTCAGTTCCAGACATACTACTATAGAGCACACCTTCACCTCCGCTTTATCTTAAGCTATACACACTTGAATAACTCAAGTCAGATTAACTCAAGAAAAGTGAGACTTGCCACACTGCAAAGCAATACAAACAGCTGTGTCCACATAGTAGGGCTGTTCAAAGCTTCGATCCCTGATTCAATTTGGCGGAGATTCAGCCCAATCTGGTGGCCAAATCTCTGAATCCAAATAAAGTCAGGAGACCCTTTAATTTCTCCAAATCGAATCGGAACCCTCCAAATCAATTTGGAGAGATTCAGAAAGATTTGGATATAGACACAGCTTTAAATGTTTTTTCTACATCCGTTGAGGTACCAGTGCGGCTCGTGAACGCTGTGATGCTGGGGCGGATAAAGCGTCCCACAGAAGCATGGGGGGCTCCCCAGCGTGCTCAGTAGCAGACCCGGAAGTGGACCAGAAGCATTTCCATTCCGCTTCCCAGTCCGCCAGGGAGCACGCAGGGAGGCCCCGCCACACCTCCCCCAGCTTGGCAGCTGGTGCCCCCTGGGTCTTGAGGGGGATCTGGGGTCCCCCTGCAGCCAATCATGGAGGCGGGGGAGTTCACCGGGGAGGGGGAGGGGCAGCTGTACACTCCCCAGCAGACCCGGAAGTGGACCGGAAATACTTCCAGTCCACTTCCAGGTTTGCCGTCGAGCACTTGGAGGGCCCCCCTGCACTCCTGTGGGACGCTCAATGTGCCCCAGCCTTGCAGCTATGCTGGTACCATGAGGTATGTAGAAAAAAACATTTAAAGCTGTGTCTGTGTCAGATTTGGCTGAAGAGACAGTGATCTGAATCAACAAATCAAATCACTGTCCCCAATGTGGGCCAAATCTGAATCTGACTTGAATAGGGCCTGCTTCACACACCCCTAATAAAAACCTATTGGCAAAAGCCAACAAATGAACACTCTAAAATATTATAAGAAAATACTAACTAGATATTATTATTGTTATCTATATATCAGATAGCAGTGTTGCAGTACTTACTGATGACTGCACCCATGAGGTAATTACAACTATAAGCACTTAATCAGAATCCTTACAATTGGGCTAATGAGGGACATTCTAACTGTCCCGTGCTAGCCAGCTCCTACCAAAGAATCCATCTTTTTCTCTTTTATTCCTCTAGATTTCTTGTTGCATTATGCTCTTCTGAATTCTAAAAGCAGATTAGAACTTGTCCAAACTTCCACACACACTTATTTTGCCATTCCCAATACAGAAAACTAACTTTTGTTGCACATTCTTAGGTCACCCTAGACCTTCTTGATATCTTTGCCTACTAATCCCCTTTCTATGAGGCCTACCACCCACCTTTTTTCCTACATCAGCAAATCAATGGCTTATCCATTTGATACAATCTAAACTACAAAATTATCACCACAAGTATTAATAAGATTGAAATGGCTTTAAAGGTACAACTTTACCAAGGATGAGACCCTACATTATCCAAATTTCTCTCACCATGATGGGCTGAGAAAGTCTTTCAGGCTAAGTTCTTCATCATTTTGTTGCTGCATTTTAGTTAGGTGTTCAGAACTTCTGGCCACCATAAAGTCTAAACTAAGCAGAGGTATTGGGTGCCCCCAACTTTGGCATTGCCTGAATAGCATCTTGTACTTTCACTTCAGCTTGTATCTTCATGACATGGTGAACTATTGGTAGAGGATACACACTTTGCCATTTCTCACTACAGGTTCTCCAGGTACAAAGCATAACATAGACCAATCAAAATAATAATCCTTTGATTCATATCTGAAGTGATATGAATCCTGCTACCAGACAGTTTTTTCCTTCCCCTGCATATGCAGTTTTTACTTCATTAATTCCCCATCATGTCAGCCACACTGGGCACACCTAAACAAGATGCTTCACTGAGCAATAAAGTTAATTACTGCATAGTAAACATCCATGTCTACACCTGCAGATGCTTATTGTGCAGTAATTGGCTCTAAAGATGAGTAAATTTGCTACCTGCAAATGCAAGTAGCAAATTTATTCATGATTAGTAACTGAACAGTATTGGCATGTTTAGAGCAGGAACAGGAGGTGGGAGATTGCTCCTTGGCCCTGGGAGTTGCTTGCTCCCAGGGCACGGGGACAATATCCCTCTGCCCTGGCAGCAGGGATTTCCCAGCCCCTACTCAGTGACCGTGGGGTCAGAGCTGGAAGATCCTTATCTCCCAGTGCCAACTCCACAGTCATTGGACCAGTGCCAGGAGTGCTGATTGTGAAGCTGGGTGGGGAACTGGCTGGAGAGTTTGCAATAATTCAATTGAACCAACATCTTGATCACCTGCTGTTTCCTTATTATAGCTATAGTCATAGAAAGGACAAATTATGATCAAATGACACCATAATGCTGGATCTTAATTAATTTCCTTACTCAGCATGAATTAACACCCTCTTCTCAACTCTCAGTAACTTGAGAAGGAGTTGAGTTGAAGTCAATTAGTACCCAACAGGAACATGGCCAGGCAGAGGAGGAAATGGCAGACATATACCCCATGCAGGATACAATGATGGCAAAATATTGGTTTAATTTCAGACCAGCCATTTGGGAACTTTTATTTTTTTTTAATTTTTGATCTTGTATACTTTCCTCTAACCAAACATATTCCTCCAAGTTTTTCAGATCAATCTGACATAAAAAAGTGATGTACCTGATGACTCAAAGGCTCTTTTCAATCAAAAAATGATTAAACATCCTTGGCAAAGTCTTTGAAAAAATTAT